ACTATCCAGTTTTGTAAGCAAACCTTTCTATTTAGTATTGTTCTGTGTTGTCATATCTACATATTGCGTAGGAAAAACAGCCAAACCAGAACTGAGCAGTTCTGTTTAACTATAAGCTACTTTGCATATTGTTATTAAATGATCACCTATAAATCAGGTTAACTCTAACTCAGCCCAAAACACAGCATCCTGACGACAAAACTCAGGTAAGAGACTTTTCTCCAGAGTGGCCCTTTGCGAAGAATAACATGATTTTTTTAAAATTTTACTTTAAATTCTGGGGTACATGTATGTGCAGGTCATGCAGGATTGTTACATAGGTATACACATGCCATGGTGACTTGCTGCCTCCATCCCCCATCACCTACATTAGGTATCTCTCCTAATCTTATCACTCCCCTACCTTCCCACCCGCAACAGATCCCAGCGTGGGATGTTCCCCTCCCTGTGTCCATGTGTTCTCATTGTTCAACATCCTCTTATGAGTGAGAACATGTGGTGTTTAGTTTTCTGAAGAACATGATTTTTAAGAAAATCACTAGGCACAGTTGATAAATACTGAATTTTGTCAGCTATCTGATTATTCCATTATCTTAAACCCAATTATTGGCCATATAGTGGAAGATCCAGGTTTTGCTGGCAATTAAATCATCTGGAAGAACAGAAGGAGTTTTGATTTGGAAGTCGGGACACTGGCCCCTGCTCTGCTACTAGCTTTGTAACCTCAGCAACAGACCACAACCTAGGAGGAATTTCTAAGCTTCCTCCCAGCTCTCACATTCCATAATTCAATTACATCTGCAGTTACAGCTGTTTATTTCTTACATGCTACATATCTTTTGTATCTCTGAAATTTGAAGCCTTTATGCTCAGCAGAGCATCCAGAATCCTTTAGGATTTAATCATTAAGATTATTTATTTCCCATAATTGCTCTAAGACAGAACCCGAGATTTTCCCAAGATAGATGTGTTTGTTAGCTGTACCTGTATCTGGAACCATGGAGCCCCAGCACTACCAATCTGTGTTGCTTTTTTTTAAAAAGATTATACTCAATTCCTACAAACATATCCAGACCCCTCTAGGCTTTCTATCTCTAGTTGTTGCATTTTATTTCATTTTCTTACTCTGTTGTCTTAAATTTTCTTCTTTGAATAAAAGCTGATCATATTTAAATGCTATCACATTGATTGGTGAACTTATTGGAAAGGCTTGACAGAAAAAACTTCTCATCAATGTGTCTCCAGAGACACCATGCTCTTTTCTCAAGAATTGTGCAGAGTATTGTTAAAACCTAGCAAGTTTTAATTACCTGTGGCATATACAAATTACTCAGATTTCATCTGGGTCAAGATTTAAGATATTGTTTACATGATCTTTTAGGGTAAAAAAAACCATCACTACAATAATGATTTTGTATAATTAGGTTTGATGACACCTGCTTTACTTTTTGGTAACCTGTTCATCCATTTTGGCTTGTTAACTACGGCTGTGCTGGTGTCAGAAGTGCAGTAATACAGGCTGTACACCCATTTGTCACCATTTTGCAGCTTCTGCCATACCCGTTCTTTCTCTAGAATTCCTGGCTTGGGAATTTCCTAATGTGTTTCTCTCAGCAACTTTTCCTTTTTGACAGAATCCTGGCTAATTCTTCATTTTCCAGAGATTTTTGTTAGTGATTTTAGGTCATTTGGTCAGTAATTTGGAATCTTTCATTTCCTGCTCCTCTGTTTTGATTTAAATTGGACCTATCCCACTTATCTCATCTCCCCAGCCCCATCCCTTTTAAGAAGAGCTTTTCCTGGCACTGACTTCTTTTCCAGCCTCTTTCACCGTGACTTACGATAACACTGTAACCCCGACCACTCCTCCCTCCCAGCACCACTGCCCCTGTGGCCCTGGCTGTTTCCCTACTCCCCTGACCTTCCTACTTGAATTCTGGTCTTAGGGGCTTCTCCACCCACTACACAGTGCAGCCTGCCCAGGTTTTGCTGTACTTCGGTAGAGGAATAAGTGCCAATATTATGTAATCTTGCCCTAAACATTAGGACTGTTTGGTGCACGTGTGTGTGTGTGTGTGTGTGTGTGTGTGTTTAGTATGACAATCACAGATAACCCCTCACTCCTAAAGATGTTGAGAAATTAACTTGCTGAGAAATTAATGCCATATTTCCTTTTTGATGGAAGCCCACAATTAGACTTCAAGATGCTTTTCCTCTTCTGTTTTAGGTAGGTTCTTCAACTCTCAACACAGACGTTTAGGACAGATCAGCATTGCAACTCTAAAGTGTTAAGGAAAACATAAACCAGGTTTTCTATAAGGTGCAGTTTAGAAAGGAATGCCGCGTAAGCATTCATTCATCTCTAAAGAAAGGAAAGAGGCAAATGCTGGTTGCAATATATGCACAGTCACCTGTCTGAAATGGGGGGTTGGGTTCAGGACTCCCCTCAGATACCAAAATCCACAGAGGTCCAACTTATGGAAAATAACGTAGCACTTCCATATAACCTACATACACCTCTCAAACACGTTTGATCATCTCTATGTACTTATAAATTCCTAATACAATGCACATTCTATACAAACAGTTGTTACACTATATTCTTTACAGGATAATGACAAGAAAAAAATGTCTGTGTGTATTCACTACCCATGCTGCCATCCCTTTTTTCCCCCTGAATATTTTCCACCCACGGTTGGTTGAATCCACAGATGGGGAACTCACCGATATGGAGGTTCAACTGTTTTTTCCCCCACTTTATTCTCACAACCACCCTCCAGAACAGTTACTAGCTCAATTGGACATGGGGAAAAGCAAAAGCACAGAGAGGTTAAGACACCTGCCTAAGGACACATAGCTAGGACAGGGTAAGGCCATATTGAAACCTGAGGGTGTTATGACAGAAACAGCTCTTTTTCTACACCGCTACTCTGCCTCCCAGTTAACTGGCTACACTGCAGTGCCTCCGTAAAATCTGTTGTTGCTATGTGATTAGGGTGAAAGGCGAACAGTAACGGTGGTTTAAAACAGGAGATGGATGCAGACCTATCCACAAAGAAGAAATGCGTTGGGGTGGGATCTCCTGGGTTACACGGCTTCATCCTTGAGTTCTACAAAAACACAGACGCACCAAACCAACAAAACCTAATTACAGGGTGAAGTGGCTCATGCCTGTAATCCCAGTGCTGAGGGAGGTTGACTTGGGAGGATCATTTGAAACTAGGAGGTTTAAGATCAGCCTGGGCAACAAAGCAAGACCCCATCTCTACCAAAAAAAAAATGTCCAGGCATGGTGGTGCACACCTGCAGTCCTAGGTATCAAGGAGGCTGAGGCAGGAGGATCACTCGAGCCCAGGAGTTTGAGGCTGCAGTAAGCCATGATCACATCACTGCACTGTAGCCTGGCTGACAGAGCAAGACAGTCTCTAAAAATAAAAATATAAAATAAGTAAAAACTTTCAAAAACATAAATATAGATGCACTTTATTCAAATATTTACAGTTCTACATATGTAAAAATTTGTAAATTGACTTTGTTTTAAATGTGTAGGGGAAATTTCTCACCTAAGGAAGTCCCACAGTGAACATTTAAGAGCAAATGATTCCTTTTTTGTGTTTTCGGTTTTCCCTCTAGCACTTCAGGTATTATTTAAGAAGGCTATGCCTCTGAGGTTTGCATGATCATTAGCTAGCTCTTAATTTCCCTAGCATGTATTTGAATATTGTGGTGTTTCACTATTTCCCGCATCTTTTTATTTGCACCTGCCTTCACGATCACCATTATACCAGTGTTCCATCTGTACTATTATCTACTCACTCTTTTTCTTTAAATCAAATCACGTTTTCTTACTCAAGAAGATTTAGTTTTAAGAGGAACTTTGGCTGGGCTTAGTGGCTCACACTTGTAATCTCAGCACTTTGGGAGGCTGAGGCCGGCAGATCACAAGGTCAGGAGATCGAGACCATCATGACCAAGATGGTGAAACCCTGTCTCTACTAAAAATACAAAAATTAGCTGGGTGTGGTGGCGGGTGCCTGCAATCCCAGCTACTCGGGAGGCTGAGGCAGGAGAATTGCTTGAACCAGGGAGGCAGAGGTTGCAGTGAGCTGAGAGCATGACTCGGCACTCCAGCCTGGCGACAGAGCAAGACTGTCTCAAAAAAAAAAAAAAAAAAGTTTTATATCGCCATCATAAATGTGAAATTATTAGAACTCACAATAAATAGAAGTTAGTAAAGATACTGAATTCTAGCTGGATGCTATTGCTTGTTGAAGGCTTTGATTTTAGGAGGTTTAGAAAGCATTCTAAGCCAGGTCAAAGGCATGGCTTTGATTTTAGGAGGATTAGAAAGCGTTCCAAGCCAGGTCAAAATGGCTCCCCGTGTATGATCCCAGCACTTGGGGAGGCCGAGAGAGGTAGACTGCCTGAGCCCAGGAGTTTGAGACCAGCTTCGGCAACACGGCACGACTCTGTCCTTACAAAAAAATGTAAAACTTAGTCAGGTGTGGTGATGCCTGCCTATGGTCCCAGCTATTTGGGAGCCTGAGGCAGGAGGAATTCTTGAACCTGGGAAGCTGAGGCTCCAGTGAGCCATGATTGTACTGCTGTACTCCTGTCTGGGCGACAGAGCCAGACCCTGTCTCAAAAATAAAAATAAAGGAAAGAAAGAGAAGAAAATAAAAAGAAAAAGAATTCTAGCAGTGTGGTGTGGAAGACACATTTGCAGCAGACTAAGGTTGTATCTTTGTAACCACAAGGATTGAAAGAGAATTGAAGGAGAATAACTCTCGCAAGGTGATTCAATGGTATTTAGTGCTGTTTCTGTGTACCAACAAAAATCCTTACTACACACAGCGTATTATAACACCATCTTGACCACATGAACTCAGAAATTAGTCATCAGAGCAGAAAAGTCTTTGAAACATTGATCTCCAAGAAAGTAGATCATATCTGCTCTTTCAGTCTGACCAAATTGATACACTTGGTTATTTTTGCAGGTTAAAGAGGAAATGATGGACAACAGAAGCAACTCTAGTCTGCCTGACAAACTTCCTATCTTCTCCAATTCTGCCTGCTTGCCAATGAGCAGGTCCTTCTATCTGGAGCCCACGGTCACTTTCCACCTGCACCCGGAGGCCCCGGTGCCATCCCCTTATTCTGAGGAGCTGCCACTGCTGCCTTTTCCCAGTGACTCCCTCATCATGGGAAATTATGGTGAACCCTGCCCCTTCTCTTTCCCAATGCCTTATCCAAATTACAGAAGGTGTGAGTACTCCTACGGACCAGCCTTCATCCGGAAAAGGAATGAGCGGGAAAGGCAGCGGGTAAAATGTGTCAATGAAGGCTACGCCCAGCTCCGCCACCATCTGCCAGAGGAGTATTTGGAGAAACGACTCAGCAAAGTGGAAACCCTCAGAGCTGCGATCAAGTACATTAACTACCTGCAGTCTCTTCTGTACCCTGATAAAGCCGAGACCAAGAATAACCCTGGAAAATGTTCCTCCATGATAGCAACCACCAGCCGCCATGCTGACTCTATGTTCAGAATTGTTTGAGTGTTTCCAAATAGAAATGAATAAGATCACAAAACGGGGTCTCCTACAGCACCATTTGATAGTTTTTCCTGAATGTAATTTCTGTGTAGGCAGGAAATAGCTCAAATGCTAACCTATGCTGGGAATTACCCAATAGTACTAAACATGATCTCATGTAGATTGAGGAGCTGCTTTATGTCTTTCATGAACTCTAGGGGAACAGGGGCCCCAGACTCTGCATGTCTCACCCTGCCCATCTCACACGCTTGGCCAGGGACTCAGGTATGAGAAGCTTTTGTGGAAGCCTTTAAAGTGTGTGCTGGTCATCTCTTCACTGAGGCTTCATGCTGAGCAATCACAATGAACCCCCTCTTCATATGTCAACATTTGGAGATTTTTTTAAAGAGTATGTTCTGCATCTTATTTTTGTGGGCAACACTTTTCTTACCATCAAGAACACATCCCAAGGAAGGGACCCAGTAACCTTTCAAAACCCAAACTGCTGCCTGCGATGAGGGCCCGGGGTCCTCCATGGAGAGGACAGGCATTTTCCTTTCCCACCAGGAAGGAGTCAGCCTGGAGCCCCCAGAGATTTTTACTTACTGGGGATCGACAAGAAGTCACCACCATGGCAAAGTGTCTTGGGGCTAATGCAAAAGTAGTTTACAAAACCTTGTTATTTGAAATTATTTCAGATGCATCATTTTCCTGCATGTAGAATTCCTCAGGCAGCTTAGTGAAAGGTTTAAGAAGGCAGGCCTGCGTTTGCAGTATAACTCTGCTGCCTCTTCTCTATGTCTCGGTTCTTCTTCACAAAATGAGAACAGCAGCAATTCCCATGTGTTTATGATGATGATTAACAGAACTTGACATATAGTAAGTATTCATAATCATTAAAAACATTTATTTAGAGATGGGGTCTTGCTATGTTGCCTAGGCTGGTCTCGAACTTCTAGCCTCAAGTGATCCTCCCACCCCTGCCTCCTAAGGTGTTGGGATTACAGGTGTGAGCCACTGTGCTTGGCCATCATTACTGATTATTATTATCATCATTATCTTGTCCTGTCTATACCATCATCATTTTCTAGGTTCTCTAAGCGAGAAAAGCTGGAGCTGCCAGGCCTTTCCTTCATACCTGGGAAGGACAGTCCCTGCCTGGTATCTTGGAGTCTGCTTTCAAAATGTGTCTATTTCTGCTTCCGTGACCAGCTTCAGCTCTTCCTTCTCCTTTAACTCCCAGGTCCCATGTGTCCCCAGGCCCAGTCAAGAACCTATCACACACTGTCTATCACACTCACCTCTACTGCTATGCTTCTGTGAAGTCTTCACCAACTTTCTATCCCAGCTGTTACTTGTTCCTTTACTTCGTATAAATACTTCTCCTGTGGCTGTTATCCTGCTATCTTTAGACACTTTACACACCTGGCTCTGTCTTCTCCAGTAGACTGCAAGTTCCTTGAAGATGATTCGTCCAGCCTTATTCATCTCATATTCCTAGTACCCAGCAAAGCGCCTTGAATCAGGAAGGTGCTGGTGATTATCTGTTACTATTTTCTTACTCCAGTCCCGTCACCTGTGTCTGGGTCATTGGTAGCAGTCTGGCCTCCTGGGCTGTGTTCTCAACAAGCTCCACCCTCACTCTCTGAAAGTATTTCATGTCACTTTGTCGCTTAAGCTGCCTGATGACTTCTAAATGCCACCTTGTTTAAATTTATCAGCTTAGTTTTCAAAGCTCCCTACTGCAAAACGAAGCAGCAAACATAAGAAGCCACGTTTTCTCATCTGTTTGCCAGCAACATTTCACAAATGTTTCACAAAGCCCCTGACTCTTACCTCGGGCAGCAATTTCGCTCTTGGGAAAGATGTTTTGCAGACACAACAGGACATAGTACACGCCCCTCTCCCTCCTCCACCCCTTCTCCTATCTGAGTTGCTAAATTCCTTAAAAGAACATGGAATACTATGCAGCCATAAAAAATGATGAGTTCATGTCCTTTGTAGGGACTTGGATGAATCTGGAAGCCATCATTCTCAGCAAACTGACACAAGAACAGAAAGCCAAATACCAAATGTTCTCACGCATAGGCAGGTGTTGAACAATGAAAACAGGTGGACTCAAGGAGGAGAGCATGACACACTGGGGGCAGTTGGTGGGGGTAGGGGAGAGACAGCAAGGTGGGGGCAGGGTGGGAGGGATAACATGGTGAGAAATGCTGGATATAGTATACATCTAAAGTAAAAAAAAAAAAAAGATAAAAGGCCTGAGTTTTGTCCTTTTCCTATACATACTATAACGTCTGATGGAGTTAGCAATGATGACTCTATCTGTAACCAGAATTACTCTCACATCCAAACCCTGATGTGAGTCTGCTTTACGTGATTTTGCAACGTATTGAACCCATTTCCCCAAACATAAAATCACAGTCTTGCAAATGTATCCTTCTCTCTTGCTTCCTACCTAAACTGGAATATTCTTTTTCCCCGCCTCCACTGAAATCCCACCGTCTCATTCAAGAATCCTTCTCTCACAGCCAGAGACTTTGTGGGTCTTTCTTAAACTCTAACTTTGTGTGCCAAATAACTCGGCCTTGGTGTACGGTCCTGGGCAGCAGTCGTTCTCCCGACTATGAAGTCATGCTCTGGGAGGGCACTCATCAGTTAAGAAGCTTTCAGTTACAAGTAAGAAAAAGCCCAATCCAGAGTGGCATAATCAATAAGGGGAATGATTGGCTTGCATAGTTGAGGCCTAGCGCAGCAGTACTGCCTGCAGGCAAGACTCAAAACTGTCACTGAGAATCTATTTCAGCTGGGCGTGGTGGAACATGTCTCTGGTCTGAGCACCTCGGGAGACTGAGGCAAAAGGATCCCTTGAGCCCAGGAGTTTGAGGCCAGCCTGGGCAACCCTGTCTCAAAACAAACAATTTTCTGAGGTCTATCCTCTCTGACTTTCTCTGGGAATTGCTTCAGTGTCCCTAAAAGCCTGTCAGAGGCTCTCAGGCAATAGGAAGAAAGAGAGAGGCTGTATCCCAGGATTCCCAACCAAAGTCTCCAGATTCCTGCTGATTGGAGAGGTTCAGGAACACCAGGAACATGCCCCTGTCTAACCAACTGCTGGGGCTGGATGGGGATGGAAGGGGTGGCTGTCACCCACTCTACTCCTGGAGCTGGCCCTGGCCTCCCTATCCACATGGACCTGCCAACCCAAATAGGACCTGGAAGAAGGTAGAGATGGATGTTGGGGAGACACCTCCAAACATGCCTGCATAGTAGGCACATAATCAGTGCACAAAGACTGTCAGAGGCCTCCACGTCCCAGCCCCTCCCACGAGTGGAGTCTGGATTTCTGTTCCTTTGCCACCAGTGTCCCCGCCTCTCACTCCAAATGGTCCCAACACCTCAGTTCCTCAATGGAGTACTGCCTGTTACAGACAAACAGGCCTACACATTTGGTTATTTTGGTTTAGATGAGGGACAAATTCTAGAGTCCCCAGGCCGCCAGTGGCTCCCTCACCCCCACCTTTAGTATGTACAGGGAGGAGGCCCTAAGTTTCTGCAAAGGTGGCTCCTCCCACACAGGAGTCCCCTGAATCCACGAGGGCTTCCCACCACCACTGACTCTTCTAGCAGTGGGCACACAGAGCTTTGGAGAACTGAGGCCATGCTGGCATTTCTCTCTCCCTCTTCCTCCTCTCTTTAAAGGGAAACCGGAAGAACACCCCCTCCCCGTCTGTCCCCCCACCTGCCTCCCAAGGCCTCCTGCCCCCCTTTCCACATGCTCAGTGCACTCACTGGCCACAGACTACAGCGTCCCCAGGCTGCATCCATGGCAACCGGCATGACAACCAGGAGTTGGTCTGTTGGGCTGAGGCTCTGAGCCCCAACTATCAGAAGGTGCCTGAGGCTAAGGTAGAGGCTGGGAGTTTGGGGCTGTGGGTAAGTCCTTTTTGGGGTCAGACCTGTGGCCGTGGGCAGGGGCAGACCCTCACCGGGCTCTGGCAGGCTGCGGCAGTACGGCTTGATCCTGGGCCCCGGGTAGCAGCTGCCTCCTCTGAATGTGGCTATAAACGGGGTGGGCGGCCCTGAGATCGCAGCTCACCTGCGGCCAGAACGAGGCTGGGGAGGAGGAAGGAGGAAAAAACACTAATAGAAGTTGAGCTGCTGAATGCACCAGGTGCTTTCTATGTGTTCTATCCTGCGTTAACTGGAGGGCAGAGGTTAAGTGAGCAGGCAGCCTCAGGAGGATTTGAAGCTGGGCTGCTCTCCTGCTCTCACAATCCCTTCCCTGTTTCCTGAGTGGGGGTTGCCAAAGCAGGTGACTCAAGGAGGAAACTATGAGAGTTTGTGGGAGCAGGTGGGGCCATGCATGGACTCAGGTGTCCCCAGAGGCAGCTAACCGCAGAGCTGAGCCCTGCCTCGCCCAGGCGGCTGCCGCTGGCTTTGAGCTGCAGCTGAGGTAATGGTGGTGCCTGTTCTCAGGTGGATCCTCTGAAGGCCATGGAATCCTCCACAGGGTCCAGGATGCCTTTGCTCAAATACTGCAGTGTGGCCACGAGCCTCAAGGCCCCTGGCTGGGACAGTGCTGCTCCACCCTGGGACCTCTCCTTCACCTACCCTGTTGCCCTCCAAGCGCCCTGGCTCACCGGGCACAAGCCCCTTGCAAGGTACCTGTCTCTGCTCCCTTAGAGGAAGCAGGTGCCCCTTCTTCCTTCATTCCTGGCTGCTGGTGGTAAACCTTGGTGGAGAGACTTGCTTCCTGAGAAGGCGGAAAGGGGTCTTCACTGTTTGGCCTGTGATTGCCCTATCTGCGTGGGGTCTGTCACTCCAGCCTCCTTGGTGCTCCTGGAACCCTCCAGGGTTGACCTGGATTTTGTCCCACTTGGAGCAGAGCTGCAGAGGCTGCAGTTGGCATGAGCGAGAAGGCAGTTAAGGATGGCCAGTTACCAAGGTTATAGCACATTTTACCATCAACAATGAGACTTGGCTGGGCGCAGTGGCTCACGTCTGTGAGTAAACCCAGCACTTTGGGAGCCTGAAGCAAGCAGATCACTTGAGGTCAGGAGTTTGAGACCAGTCTGACTAACATGGCAAAACACCGTCTACTAAACATACAAAAAAATTAGCTAGGCATGGTGGTGCATGCCTGTATTCACAGCTACTTGGGAGGCTGAGGCAGGAGAACCGCTTGAGCTCGGGAGGTGGAGGTTGAGGTTGCAGTGAGCTGAGATCACGCCACTGTATTCGAGCCTAGGCAACAGAGCTAGACTCCGTCTCAAAACAAACAAAAAACCAATGAGAGTTGCTCTGCACCATGTGAGAAATCAGCTAAGGTGGGATCTCCAGGCCCTTCTTCAGGTTCCCTCAGTACCCCTCCTTTGCCTAGGATTTTCCTGAGTGGGATCCTCGGTCCACTTACTAAAGGTGGATACAAGAGGGCAAAGGCACTGCAGCTTATACGCACCTGTGGAGTGTGCAATCTCCAGGGACTCACCTTGATTTGCCTGATGCATTCTGCCCACTTGAGGGATGTGCCAGCTTGAATGACCCTTAATGGGTCTCTTTCGTGATTCACATGGTGGACCATCCTGTTCAAGGCCAGAGTTAAGCACTGGACGTTAGATGCCAATGAGCACAGGAAGGAGGCTGAGGGGGGCTGAAGGCAGCTCAGCATGGGCCTGCAGCGGCTCCTTGGCACCAATGGCCGGGGTGCTGTGACGGCCTGTTGATGGCAGCAGGAGGCAGACAGGCCCCCTTTGCATTCAGCCATGCCCACAAAATAAAACGGCTTCTTCCAAACCCAAATCCTGATTCAACAACTCTCCTAGGTCAACTGGCCCTGACCACATTTTCCAGAAGTAGCATCCCCTTCTTCTGTCCCACAGCCCCTTAGCTCCTCTGGGTTGTCCCTCCCCAAACACTTCCTCATCCCTCTAACCCCACAGCACCAAGAGGCATTACAATTTTGCCCCATTGGTATTACCATCCAAGATTCCACGCCTCATCCTGGAACCCCACACACCACCTTAGGCTTTACTTTCCTGGCACTCTGTTCTTTGTTTGATAGGGTGTCTCTGTCACTCAGCTGGAGTGCAGTAGGTGCCATCTCAGTTCACTGCAACCTCTGCCTCCCAGGTTCGAGCAATCCTCCTACCTCAGCCTCCCAAGTAGCTGGGACCACAGGCTTGCACTACCACACCCAGCTATTTTTTTGTATTTGGTAGAGATGGGGTTTCACCATGTTGCCGAGACTGGTCTTGAACTCCTGAGCACAAGTGATCCATCCGTGTCAGCGTCCCAAAGTGCTGGGATTATAGGTGTGAGCCACACTTTTCCAGTCTGTTGTCTAGAGTCAGAACAAGTATTAATTTACTTGAATATATCAAGGCGAATTACCTTTTGGTTGCCTTGAACCAACTCCCAATCCACCAAGGATGGTTCCTCTCACTGTCCTCTCCTTCTGCCCCTCCCAGAGGTTTACCTTATCCTTCCAGAAGTCATACATTGTCACTTTCTATGTGGATTTCTGTTCCACCTGCCTCGTGTGCTGTGGTGCGCCTCAGATCTAACTGTGAAATGTGTTTCTTGATGTGTTTAGAGCTTGTTGCTCTCCATCTATTACTTCCATTGCTTTTTTCCAGCTACGCCTCTTCTTGCCCGTGTCTCCACATTGCCAACCCAGCATGTGAGGGGCCTGGCTGGCTGGGAAGAGCTGGAGATGCTGCCAACACATGGGTCCTGGCAAGAAGGGAAGCAGACAGCTTTTACTACAGGGCTCAAATAAAGGCTGCTCCCGAGGCAAGTCCCTGACCCCCAGCATCTCTATGGCATGCTCTTCTGGGTGGCCCTGTCATACCCGGCACGTCTTAGCTGTGTGCATCCCACAGGCTGGTTACTTGGATAAGCACCGCTCTCTCATTGCCATGCTGTAGAAGTGAACATGAAATACCAGTGAGTATATTAGTTTGCTAGGGCTGCATAGCAAAGTGCCACAGAGTGGCTTAAATCACAGAAATCTATCATCTCCCATTTCTGGAGGCTGGAGGTCTAGGGGTTGGCTGAGTTGTTTCCTTCTGGGAGCTGTGAGGAAGAACCATTCCCATGTCCCGCTTCTGGCTTCTCATGGCTTGCTGTCAGGCTTTGGTGTCCCTCAGCTTATAGAAGCATCCCCTTGATCTCTGCCTTTCCCTTCACGGGGCTTTCTCCCTGAGTGTGTCTGCGCACATTTCCCCCTTTATAAGGACATCAACCACACTGGATTAGGGACCTGCCATATTCAGTCCTCATCTTAACTAATTACATTTCCCATGACCCTATTCCCAAATAAGGTCACATTCTGGAGGCTACGACTTCAACATATGAATTTGGCAGGGGGCTAGGCATGGCGGCTCATGCCTGTAATCCCAGCATTTTGAGAGGTGGCAATGGGAGGATCACTTGAGGCCAGGACTTCGAGACCAGCATGGGCAACATAGTGAGACCCTGTCTCTACCCAAAGTTTAGACAGGCGTGGCGGCACATGGCTGTAGTCCCAGCTGCTTGGGAGGCTGAGGCAGGAGGATCACTTGAGCCCCAAACTGATGGCCCCACTGCACTCCAGCCTGTGGGAATAGGGTGGAGGTGGGGAACGGGACACATTCAATGCATAACAGAAAAGAAAATTCACTTTAACAGTACTTTGTTGAAGAAAATTCAGTGTGTTGAATGAACACCAGCCTAAGGGAAAGAGGGGCGAGATGTGTTTGCTCACGTGCACTGGTATGTGCTGGTTCACAGACGCACACTCCCGCCACGCTGGGGGCCAGGCCTGGCATGTACTTCAGTTGCTACTCACTTCTTGTTATTTTATTTTTCTTTTTTTCAGAGTCAGACTTTGTGAATGTAGATTCATGAAGGGAAGACTAGTGTAAATTCTCAAAAAATACGAGTTTCAGAATTTCCAATAAAAAGTCAATTTTCAGCTAGGTGCAGTAGCTCACACCTGTAATCCCAGCACTCTGGGAGGCTGAGGCAGGCCCATCACAAGGTCAGGAGTTCGAGACCAGCCTGGCCAATGTGGTGAAACCCTGTCTCTAATAAAAATACAAAAATTAGTGGGGTGTGGTGGCGTGTACCTGTAATCCCAGCTACTCAAAAAGCTGAGGCAAGAGAATCACTTGAACCCGGGAGGCAGAGGTTGTGGTGAGCCGAGACTGCACCATTGCACTCTAGCCTGGGTGACAAGAGCGAAACTCTGTCTCAAAAAAAAGTCAGTTTTCAAATTTTCAAGTAACTAGTATGGGAATTAAAATAAAATGCTAGCAAAGCTTTGCTCAAATATAGGTTCTGTCCAGTGATTTGGTAAAAATCATTTATTACCAGGTTGTATTTCTTTTCTAAATCATACCAAGTACTTGGAACAGCTTAAGTAGCTCCGGTACTGTTCTTGCTCTTTCGCTATTGATTTGCTTAGCTAACCCTAAGGGCAGTGCTGAGGGCAGCTCTGTGGCCACAATCACTCCTCACTCACACGAGCCTCACAGGTGAATGACAAACCATCCATCCCTGCTTGGTCTTGGACACAGGAATGATGCTTCTTGGGGGTGCTGCAAGGAGGAGACTGCATTGAGAAAAGGTCCAGGGAAGACCCAGCTTACTTCTGGCAATTGCAGGTCAAAAATTTGGTAGAAGGAAAGAAAACCAGGCAAAGGAAGGGAATGGAACAGCAGAGGCAGGAAGCAATCCACAAGAGTTGCCTGTGGCAGGAAGAGATTCAGGAAACTGTGACCGCACCACGGCCTGCCTGTCTCAGCTATGACTAACTCAAACCAGCATCTGCTCCGTCCCTTCTTTAGGTGCCTGTCACTGTTTGGAAGGCAGCCCCTGGGCCTGGTTTGGGGACATCGTAGGGAACCTGGGTGCTCCCTTCTGTATTTTGTAATGCCAGGTCTTATTGAGTGTTTTCTTTCCCACAGCTGGAGAGGCAGGGCGCCCTACTTGTGGAATTTGAGGCTCCTCTTGTCGCAGGCCCAAAGCTGCCAGCCCAGCAGCAGAGCGTGGTCTTAGAAGAGAATGTCATTCCACTCTCACCATCTGTAGGATACTCACTGAGACCAGGGGACACAGTGCTGGCACTCTGGGAGCCAGGCCGACAGCAGTATGGCCCTGGCACTGTTCTTTTGGGCTTGGAGACCAGAGGTCCCCAGAGAGGTAAGAAAAGCTGCTGTGACCCATCAGTCCCTAGAAGGAGCCAGGCTATAATCAGGCCAGAGGAGAGAGCCAAGGGTACGTCTACAGCTTAGGGATTTCTAAGGCATTAAGAAAACTTTGTTGCTTGCCTGCTGCTTAATCTTGAGGCAGCAACAGATCCCTTAAGATGCACATTGTATCTTTCAGATTATTAAAAAACTTGTAATAAGGGAAAGTGGCCTAAAACTCTCATGTCTGTGTTGGTTAGCTAACCATGGTTTAGCTACTCATGACCCATCACTCACCAGGTCCTCCAGGGACTGGACAGTCCTGGGTCAGTTAGCACCATTGTGATTCAGAGAATGACAGGATGAGGCTTCTGAGAATGCATTTTGGTTTCAACAAGAAAAGTGAGCCCCTGTGGGCCATGGTAGTCCAGGAGTCAGGGAGGCTCAGGCAAGTTCTCGGGAAATGGAGGTAACGACCGTGCCAGTGAAGGATGTTCCTGGCAGGCTCTCCACAGAGAGGTGCATGTGAGGAGCCGGGCGGCCAGAGCAGAGGGGCCGGGCTAAAACTCTGCCTTTGCCTATGCGGATAGAAGAGTCTTTATCCTACGATTAGGAAGTGGAAGTTACTTGGGAAGCTGAGGCAAGAGGATGGCTTGAGCCTGGGAGGTTGAGGCTACAGTGAGCCATCACTGTGCCACTGTACTCCAGCCTGAGCCAGAGCCTGTCTTGGGAAAAAAAATGGAGATAATTATATAATTATAATGAAAGGTTGCTGTTTTCTGTTACGTAGCATCAAAGGGAGAAGAAATCACTGTTTATTTCTGGAATGGCAAAACCGCTAAAGTGCCCATAGGTGGGGTCCAGTGGGTGTCCCCGGCCATCTGGAAGAAGGCTGTGGAGAGGCTGCACAAGCCTTTCACCAGGGAGCACCCCAGGCCCCTCCACTGGGCCCCTTGCTGCTCTGTGCTGGGGCCAGTCACTGGGTGCCTGACCAGCGAGCTTCCTCCAGGCACTCCATTCCTGCAACCTCTCTGCCACCCTCATGCCTGCTGCCAGCTGCTGTGCCAGGCCGGCCTCTGTGGCTGCCCCTCATGTGGCACCACCTGGTGGCCTCTAACTGGGACCTCAGAAGTCACAGCCAAAGAACTTCCAGAGTTGGAGGTGGAGCCCACAGCACAGCTTTTGCCCCTGGAAGGTCCTAAAGAGGAGAAAGTAGCAAGGCACACTCCTCTGGCTGTTTCTTCCTCCTCGTCCTCCTCCCATGAACAAGATGATGTGGAGAATTATCTGGAGATGGGCCCTCCCCAGAGACTGATGGTGAACAGTGCAGTCAACACAGATCCTATCCTTCTTGAGACACCTCTGAGGCAGAGTGGCCTCTGTCGGCCTGGATGGAAGTACTGGAGGAGAAATGGGCCTGAGCCGCACCCTGGGAAGCCAGGTATACCAGGGGAATGGGCTTGCCTTCTAAGGCAGGGGCTGAGGCCCCTGCTCCCTTTCCTCCATGTCCCTTAGGAATCTGATGCATGTGTCCACTCTGTTAAGACCAGAAGTAATCCTTGGGAGTCTGGTCATGCTGAAGAGGAGGCTGTGGAAAGAGGGAAATAGCAGGTTTCCATTTCAGCTATGAGGCCCAAAAAGCAGAAGGATGAACGAATCTTTGTGCTAAGGTTGTATGCCTATTGAATACCTGCCTTTTTCTTTCTTTACTAGTCTCTACTGACAGGGCGCTGCCATTTCTGTTTTTAGCCCCCTCCTTTTTTCTTGGAGGCCTTGGTTTTTCTCTAGATGAACAGTCTAAACACCTCCAGGTGTTGATGAGAGTCAATGCACTGAGGCATTAAAAACTGGTCTTAAGCATTGGTCATGAGGCCCCACTCTCCCGCTGGGCCCCGCCGTAAGCAAGCAGGGAGGACCCAGCACTGCCATGTGCTGCTCACCCCTCAGGACAGGGCAGCCATGTCCTGTTGCTGCTGGCAGCCTGCAGCTGGCCCCACACCGCATCACCTCCCACTGAGAACTGTGGCGTGCCCTGCTAGGTTCAGGGAGCCCATCCCATCTAAATTCTCAAAGGAGCCCGGAAAGAGCAGAAGCTGGTCAGAGCTGTGTGAAGGAGGTGGCCTGGATAAGTCTGGCCCTTGACAAGATTCCAGGGGCCCTGGGGTCACTGAATATTCAGTGGAGTATCCAGGGCAGGGAGGCTGTGAGGTGAAGAAACACCACTGCTAAGGGCTTAGATCTGTAGGCACTGCCCACACTGGGCCCACTTTATTATCACTTGTAGAGAGGGCATAAAGAAAATGATACCAAACTCTAGAGTGTTCATGCTAAATTCTCCATAGCTCCCAATGCCTCCTGCTCCAGCAGAGCGTGGAGAAAGAAAGCTATACCTACCCAACAGACGGGTCCGTGGGGAGCAACTGAGACAGCGTGAAGACCAGCACAGGGGAGAGGAACAACCCGAGGGGCCGTGGGGGCCAGACATGCCCCAGGTACCGTGTCTGTGTTCCCATTGCTGTGGCTTGCTTCATAGCAATCTCTAGAAGGATTCCAAACCTGATTAAACACAAACAAATTTCCCCTGGCCCTACATTTACACAGCTCTTACCACTACCGCCCAAAGCCACTTACACCTACAGTCTCTCTCCAGCACCGCATTTAAACAGATCCACTCCAAAGTTATCTTCTCCCCCAAAATAAATTCTAATAACTGACTATAAAGAAGAGAAATATAGTATTTTCAGGTAGTTGGCCTGACTTGCCCGTTAGGTACTGAATCTTGTGTTATGCTCTAGGGAAAGTTCCTGGGGCTGACCCACGAGCATCATCATCAGCATGTTCCCAGTGCACCAATGTACCCAGTTTAATTTCTTAAAACTTGTTTTTCCTTTTTAATGAGACAGTGTTGCTCTGTTGCCCAGGCTGGAGTACAATGGCATGGTCTTGGCTCACTGCAGCCTCCACCTCCCAGGTTCAAGAGATGATTCTCCTGCCTCAGCCTCCCTAGTAGCAGGGATTATAGGTACCCGCCACCGTGCCCGGCTTTTTGTATTTTTAGTAGAGATGGGGTTTCACCATGCTGGCCAGGCTGGTCTCAAACTTCTGACTTCTTGATCCGCCCACCTCAGCCTCCTAAAGTGCTGGGATCACAAGCGTGAGCCACCGCACCTGGCCTAAAACTTGTTTTTCCATAGCTTGTAGTGTCGTCTTTGTGGTCTGCGTTATCAGGGATCAGTGAATGTGTCGAAGCTCCTTTAACGGGTGGCAGTCAGTTACCTTTGCTTGCCCTGCTGGCAGTTTAAAAAACACATCTAATAACTTCTTCACAACCACAAATCTTGGGTATCAGGTAATCTTTCCCCAAACCATAATGGCCAGAAATGTTAACACATTTCATTAAATTTAAGATAACACAACACTTTGGGAGGCTAAGGCTGGAGGGTTGCTTGATCCCAGGAGTTCAAGAGCAGCCTGGGGTACAGCCTATTTCTTTAAAATATAAAAAATTAGCCAAGCATGGTGGTGTGCACCTGTGGTCCCGGCTACTAGGGTGGTGAAGAAGGGGTGGATGACTTGAGCCCAGGAAGTCGAGACTGCAGTGAGCTGTGATCACGCCACTGCATTCCAGCCTGGGTGATACAGCAAGACTTTGTCTCAAATATATAGTAAGTCAATGAAAAGAAAACAGTGATGTGAACTGACAGATTCTTCAGTGACCCTTGTTTTAGTTCTATTTATCCCATTAAAATGGTGGCATATTCAACCTAAGTAACTGACTTTTGCATTTAGGACCAAGATATTCCAGCATCTGGAAAGAAGAAAAGGATCACAAGCAGCAGAGAGTACAAACCGTAGTACTGGGGACTACCAGGGAGCTGGTCTCGAAAGCAACCAACACGAAGCCACCGCAGACCCTGCCAGGCAAAGCTGAACATCGAAGGTGGAGTCAGAGCCCTGCAATATGTCAGTGGAACAAGAATTCTCCTTAGACTAAGAGCGCTGAGGATCTAGGTAAAGCAGAATGGCTGGAAATGGACTTCCTAAAGACTCCTCACATGGGTCGTAGATCTTTTGGGTCACATCCCCTTTGAGAACAGTAAAACCTATGGTTCCTTTTCACAGAAGAATGCACATGCCCTCAATTTTGCATGTAATTTCCCAAGGTTTACAGAACCCATGAATTTAATCACAGGCTTCTTGGTGGTACAAGGATCCCCATTTAAATGACCCTCCGTACTATGGTATTGGGTTGGGGCCTCCTTTATTAGGCCCCCATATTAGGAATATGGAGTCGATTCCTGACTAAGAATAATACAGCCCTACTTAAAACTTTGTTTCCATCATATAGAATACTGGCACCTTTCCCAAGGAAAAGTTTATGTTCAAAATGAGAGAATCACCAGGCAACAAAACTGGGAGATGTCATAGTACTGCTGTGGCAGCTACAAGAAGTTTGGGCCACAGCAATGACTGTTTTTTAATTTTTTTGAGACAGGGTCTCACTCTGTCACTCAGGCTGAAATGCAGTGGCATAATCAAGGCTCACTATGGCCTTGAACTCCCGGGCTCAAGTGAGCCTCCCACCTGAGTCTCCGGAGTGGTTGGGACTACTGGCACATGCCACCACACCTGGCTAAATTTTTTACTTTTTGTAGAGGTAAGTTCTCACTGTGTTGCCCAGGCTGGTCTGGATCACTGGGCTCAAGTGATCCTCCTGCCTTGGCTTCCCAAAATGTTGGGATTACAGTTATGAGCTACTACACTCGGCCACATCAATGACCATTTAAAATCAGTGACTTTTGGTTCTTTTTTTTTTTGAGACGGAGTTTCGCTCGTTACCCAGACTGGAGTGCAGTGCAATGGCATGATCTCGGCCGACCGCAACGTCCTCCTTCTGGGTTCAAGCAATTCTCCTGCCTCAGCCTCCCGAGTAGCTGGGACTACAGGCGCATACCACCACACCCAGCTAATGTTTGTATTTTTAGTAGAGACGGGGTTTCACCTTGTTGACCAGGATGGTCTTGATCTCGACCTTGTGATCCACCCGCCTGGGTCTCCCAAAGTACTGGGATTATAGGCGTGAGCCACCGCGCCCGGCCGACTTTTGGTTCTTAAAACTGCAGTCAGCATAACAATCTATGGATTCTTTCCCCCTTTTATAGGTAAAGAATAAAGACAGTAAATACTTGAGGACAGTTATACAGAGTGGCCAAGGCCTTCTTCAAGGGAAGGAGGCAGAGGACAGGACACAGTAATAGTCAAATAACCAGCAGCATCTCTACCCCATGAAGACCTCCCTACAGATGAGCAGCAGGAAGGCACCTGCTGTGAGGGGCACAGGAGTGTGGGGGCCCTGCCCTGGGGCTTCCTGCCAGGGCCCTGGTGAGGCTGCTTTAAGATGCCTCTTCCATGGAAGAGGGGGTCAGCCTACTTTGGGCAAATGTGTCCAGAGCTACTCTGCCACTTTTCCATAAAGCCTACAGTTGTACATGAGTGACATTTTGTATTACCTTTTAATAACAATAAAAATGAATTTGAATTCTCTTCATTTCCAAATCTGTTTATTATAATTAACCTTTACTTGGAAAGCAAGAAGTAAAATCTGTTCAGACAGCATCATTATATTACTGTCAGGCAAACAAGGATGGAGGACTTCTACACCCTCAAGAAAGGCACACTGAAAGAGACAGATTCCAGTTCCCGGGAAGGCTGAGCCAGTCAGCACTAAAAACACGATTAGTGTATAGCTATTAAGAGAATCATACAGTGGCTTTATTCTTACTGCTTAAAAAAAGGTGATGGTCAACATCACACAGGGAAGACCAGGTCCACAGTTTGTCCAGAATCAACTGCTACCACATGAGTCTTCTTGGTTAAGCCATTTGAGCCCACAGTGACAGAATAGGTCCCTGGATATACTTCTATGTAGAGGTCCTTAGAGATGTTCTCAGCCTGGAAGGAAAAGAGGATATTAGCAGTTGAGAGATTTTATATCCCAGTGCCACCATGGCCCCCCACCGGGCTACCTGTGCATGCAGAGGTATGATGGAATGAAGCACTCGTGGGAGACAGAGGTCCTGCTTTCAAGGCTCAGCCTGCTCACGTACAACACTGTCATTTTAGGAGGTCTCAGCCTTTCCTTATTTCTAGAACTGTGATAATACCTACCTCACAAATAAGCATGTGAAATCACTTTGTAAATGCTAAGTGTTACAGGAACATGAAGGATTATAAAAAGAACACTCTACTTGGAGTTAGGCAGAGGGAAAGGCTAGAGGCCACTGTTCTGAGGATCAGAAGTAGACAGTGGCACTTAACTCAGATAAGTAGCAATGGCAAGGTACTCAGAAGTAATGAGAGCCATTCTTTCAAATTGTGCTTTGCTAAGTTCACTATCAGGAAGATGATAGGCATTTCTTTCATCCTAAAGCTCAGAACAATATGAGTGGATTCCATTTTGTTACTGAAGCAGCAATTCAGCTGGATGACAAAACTCTCCCTTGGAGAACTGGTTCTCCCAGAGTACAAAATATTGGAAGCCAGAGTTAATGGAAAGATTTTTATTTAGAGCTGAACTGAGCACGGTCTTCCAAGGGTAGACTTCACTTATGGCTGGGAGGCAAGTCATAGCAGGTGTGCAGGCAGAGGATGTGTCTCAGTTCAAATGGCAAAAGGACAGAGTCACAAACCGGAAAAGAGCCTGTAATTAAGGGCCAGAGCGATAGCTGAGATGCCATTACATGCTTACTCAATGCTGAGAAGGGGCCATAGGCAAAAGCTGTCAATTCCACTACCACACATGGGAAAAGCCAAACTATGGGCCAGCAAATTCCACTCAGAGGACTAAATGATCATGTTTACATTTTTATGAAATTTCCCCTACTCCTTCCACCTTGCAGATGGATTAGAAGCCAATTTTTTCCAAAGCTGTTTTGTTATATTCTTTCATGCCTGTCTAGTTACTTCGAAATTGGAAGTCTATAATTCTTTACCTGATGTAAATGTGTATGACAATGTCATAACTATTTATTGGTTGTCAACCATGTAAATAAAAGTCATTTTTAGAAAATATGGTTTTATCAGAATGCAGAAAGCCCAGGATGCTTCATTTGTCTGCAATAAGGAAACATGGGAGGTAACACTGCCCTGTGTGACTATTATACTGTGGAATGTCAGCAAGTGTTGAGAGGTGTCTAAGCCTTAGCAACTTATATTACATTTGTACTAGGAGCAGCATATTCTTGTTACTAACTCCAGAATACTCCAAATCCCTGACTAGTATCAAACTGTATACAAACAAATAGTAAGAAATGTATTGTGGCACCATGCTGAAGTTCCTTTCCTCAGAATTCTAGCCCTTCTAAGCTCCAAAAAGATCCCCTGGCTTCATGAACTAATGAGTACTTCATCCTAAAAAAGAAAAACTCATTATATGTTTTTATAGAAAAACATTTGTGGAAAATGAGAACAAATGCCTTCAAATGTTTTGGAACCTGATCTCGCCAAATGTGGATGTTTCAGAATTTCAACAATGATTTTCACTGTGTTAGCAGGAGGATCAGGACCCTCCTGCTGCTTGAACAGATGGTGGAATTCCAGCAGGACCCGGTGCCAGCCCAGCTGAGCTGTAGGAACTGAGATGTGAATACTTCACATTCTTTCCAACCACAACTATGAATTCAGGCAAAAGAGTATCCCTGAAGCTTCGAGTGAAGGAAGAATACCAAGAAAACCTAATTTTACCCTGAACCAAAATTTTGTGCACCCTTCTTAAGTGTAAGAACACCTCAACTTAAAAATACTATAGACAAACAGCCCTCTAAGAACCATGTTAACTGGCTCATGGAGTTGTAATGGTGATGAAACTCAAAGCCTGAGCAATTCCACACTCACGGTCTGGGATGCCTCTGGAGCATGCTCTGACACTTGATAGATGTCTCTAGGACCAAGGGATGTCTTTCGTCTGTCTTTTCTCTGAAGAGACAAGTAGAACACCGATTTGTGCCCAAGCTTTGACTTTTGGATTATAAAAAGCAGCTTTCTTCTACCTTATTAGGAGTTAGTAATTGCTCTGTCAGCTTTTTCTAAGTTGTCATCTAAGCTATTAAGGCATTTTTTAGTAAATTCTGTGAGGTATTTTTAGTCAGATGTTAACTATAATTTTCATCCCAACAAGCCTTTAGAGTCAGACACACCTGAGTTTAAGTCATATCTCTGCTATTTACTAAGAGAGATTAACTTCTCTAGGCCTTGGTTTTCCAGTCTGTAACATGTGACTCTTGGATCGCAGGGAAGACTTAAAATGTACAAGTGCCTGACACTTAGGTTCTCAGTAATTCTCTTCTGTGCTTTTTCTAGGAGTGGGGGTGGTCCTAGAAGGGACCACCTGATAATTTCGACCACCTTTATCACTTCGACTGATAAAGGCTGACTTACAAAACCAATTTCCCTTAGAGGGAACTTACGTTTTAAAGGGAGAGATGGAAATGACTCTTCCCCACATGTCACCCTTTAGGGTGAGCTGTACTTAAGTAAGAGTTCAGGCTAGGCCAGAAAAGGAAGCTCAGAACTCAAGCTCTGGCACCACTCCTCCACCTTGCAGGCAGGGGAGGTGTGCGGGAGGTGCTTCGAGTGTGCACTCAGCCCTTGCTCATGTCCCTGTGCCCACTCTCCCATCCTTTTCCTAAACTTCCTCCCTCTAATACCCTAAAATGGCTGACAGACCAAAGAAGTCAAGAATCCAACTTCGACTGTGGATTAGACTCTGGTCTTCAGTTTGCTATCTTTGAGTGCAAGTACAAAAGCAAAAACCTAGTCTCCTCAGAAATCACTGCCACCACCTCCTCCTTTGAATCAGTTCAGTAAGGAGGATCGCTGGCATCCCCAGAATGACATGTGGTAAAGGTAAGTTTGTAGTGAGAGACCTTTAATTGTTATATACCTTTACAGAAAGTATTTTGTTAATAGAGACCCCTGTCTCCACACTTCCCTTCTACTTTCTTTTTAAAAATTATGAAAGACCAGGCACTGTGGCTCACACCTGTAATCTCAGCACTTTGGGAGACCAAGGCAGGCAGATCACCCGAGGTCAGGAGTTCAAGACTGGCTTGGCCAACATGGTGAAACTCTATCTCTACTAAAAATACAAAAATTAGTCAGGCGTGGTGGTGTGTGCCTGTAGTCCCAGCTACCTGGGAGGCTGAGGCAGGAGAATTATCTGAACCTGGGAGGCAGAGGTTGCAGTGAGCCATGATCACGCCACTGCACTCCAGTTTGGGTGACAGAGAAAGATTCCCTCTCAAAAAAAAAAAAAATTACCAAAGTGATAACAGTTATCACTTACCTTAAGTAAAAAATGTAATTATTAAAAATCTTCTCCCCCAGCCTGGGCAACATGGCAAAACCCCATTTCTATTAAAAACATTAAAAATTAGTTGGGTGTAGCGGCATGAGCCTGTAGTCCCAGCTACTCAGGAGACTAAGGTGGGAGGATCACCTGAGCCCAGGAAGTCAAGGCTGCAGTAAGCCATGATTGTCCCACTGCACTCCAGCCTGGGTGAAAAGAGTAAGACCCTGTCTCAAAAAAAGAAAAGAGAAAAAAAAAAAAATTTCTGTCCCTATAGAAGAGGATATTTGGAGCTCTTTTATAAAAAATAGAGAAAGGGACCAGGTGCAGTGGCTCATGCCTGTAATCAGAGCGCTTTGGGAGGCTGAGGCATGCAGATCATGAGGTCAAGAGATCGAGACCATCCTGGCCAACATGGTGAAACCCCTTCTCTACTAAAAATACAAAAATTAGCTGGGCATGATGGCACATGCCTGTAGTCCCAGCTACTTTGGAGCCTGAGGCAGGAGAATCACTTGAATCGGGAGGTGGAGGTTGCAGTGAGCTAAGATCACACCACTGTACTCCAGCCTGACAACAGAGTAAGACTCTGTCTCAAAAAAAAAAAAAAAAAAATAGAGAAAGAATCTGTGTTGCCCAGGAGAGTGCAGAGGATAGTCGCAGGGGTGATCATTGCATGCATCATGTTCCAGGCTTGGAAGCTCTTTTCTTTAAACCTGCTGGAGAATCCCATGGCCCAGGACTGGAGGTTCAACTGAAGATCCTACAGTGGCATCAATCTTCTGTTTTTGACAACCTCCTATTTCATATTCATTGCTGTAAGTTCTCTAAGGTGATAAATTTATACATTTCCATTAAGCACTGTAATGCCAAGTCAAACAGGCATCCTTTGACACAAAATCTAGCAAAGCGCTCTTGAATATAGGGTGTCGAATCTTGGTAGACTGAAGGCATACTGCAGGGCAGCTGAGGACACTTACCTGACCATTACCTTTGTCCGAACACAAGTGCAGCTTCGACTTGCCTCTGTGATAACGATAAACATGTGTTGCCCCTCCTTCCTCTGGCATAGATAAATAATATTTCTAGAGAAGTAATGTCAAAGATGTTAGGTAACCAAATAGTCAAATTTTCAAAACACCCTGGTATTTGGGCAAAGTACGGTGAAGAAGGGAGGCAAGAGAGCAAAGGTGAATTACCTGCCCTCTTGACAGGCCTCTCAAGTCATGCAGCAAATCAGCCCACCCAAAGTGGCTGCAGAGAAAGAAGTGCATTTGGCATCACCGTGCTGCCACCTGCTGCCTCCATAGGGCAAGAATGTTCGCCAACTAAAGGTGGGCAGGACCATGCTCTCTGCCAGGTTAAACAAATTTCACATCTTTGCCCCATGTCAAATACACATATCCTTTCATTTCCTCCCCTAAAAACTGTGAACAGTTCCATGTTTATTGTCTAAGTCTCAGACAAGGACACGGGAAGGGAGGGGTACATTTTCTTGAGATTTAGAAACAGCAGAAAATGAAACATAAACCCAAGAAGTCTGCAGCCCTTTTCTCTGTGCTTCCGGCATGTGGGGGAGTGGAGGGAGAATTCTCTGATTGAAGAATCTTCCAAAGGATGGGAAAACAATTACATTTCTCGACTGCTTCCTTCCTCCCCCTTGAAGTTAGTCTGAGACTTGCCCTTGATAATGGCTAATGATGAGGCCATCACAGGCCTGCTTGTTTTGAATACAGGGTAGAGACACTGTCTAAAAAACATGTGACCAAAAGAATGAGAAGCTGGGGAAAGCACTTGAGGACACGGACTTAAAGATGTATTTTAGTGACTGTTTCAAACTGTAGAGGCAAACCCAGGACACAATTCTTAATTCTATCTCTAGAAAGTCAAGAGGTTCTGAGGCTCCATTTCATAATGGAGACTCTAACGGATGCATGAACTGAAAATCAAAATGAGTAACAGCAATTTGCTAAACCTCAAACCAAAGACAAATATCATTCCTTTTGCTGAACCGTGAACCAAGTGTTTAATCACAGTAGAGCTGAAGTTATTGATTTTTCTAAAACCACTGAACAATAAAAATAAGATAAAAATATTCCCTGAGCTATTCCTCATTGGTTGGAATCCTATTCTTGGAGTCAGGGATTCTTAAAAAAGATGTAGAGGCTGGGCACAGTGGCTCATGCCCGTAATCCCAGCACTTTGGGAGGTGGAAGCAAGTGAATCACCAGGTCAGGAGTTCAAGACCAGCCTGGCCAAGATGGTGAAGCCCCATCTCTTACTAAAATTATAAAAATTAGGTGAGCGTGGTGGCAGGTGCCTGTAATCCCACCTATTCAGGAGGCTGAGGCAGATAATTGCTTGAACCTGGGAGGCAGAGGTTGCAGTGAGCTGAAATTGCACCACTGCACTCCAGCCAGCATGATGGAGACTCTATCAAAAAAAAAAAAAAAAAAAAAAAAAACAGCAACAGAAAACAAACAAACCCCCCCCCCCCAATATTGAACTTACTTGCTACGGAATTCAGCAAATAATCTATTTTTCCCCCGACTAGACTTAAAATCACTGAGGGAAGACGACCTTTTCTGACTTTTCATTGCTGTATTGTCAACTACAGAGTTAGGCATTCAATAAAAATTTGTTGGGTGAATTCTAACTTGCATTTATGCCCTGGTTTAAGTCCTTGACTGATTACAGTCTGCCCATGGAGGCTGCGCAGGTGAAACAGGTAGTCTCCAGATTCTTTCCAAATTCCAGAAAGATCCATAGTGTGGTCCATCAGCAGGTGATGGGATATAGCTTTGGTTCACACCAACTTACCCCACACTGATTTGAAGTATAGTCCATGAATTCAGCCATTGTTCTGAAGAAAGCACTAAGGGTTGGGGGTCTCTCTTCTCTCTATTTGAATAAATGGCAAGTCACAGGTTAGATCTAGGATTCCCTGCTGGAGAATGAAGCCATTTTGAATAGCCTCGTTTTTACTTATGAAAAGACTCTGCAAGTTTATGTTAGAAAGAAGGATGTTACTGAGAAAGAATTCCAACTCTAAAAGATAGACATGCAGTTTATCCAGGACCTAAGAGAGAGGTTTACGGGCTTTCCTCTTTTATCAGAAGATAGCTGTAAGATTTGTTTTTTAAAAAGTAATCGGCCGGGCGCGGTGGCTCATGCGTGTAATCCCAGCACTTTGGAAGGCTGAGGCGGGCAGATCAGGAGGTCAAGAGATAGAGACCATCCTGTCCAACATGGTGAAACCCTGTCTCTACTAAAAATACAAAAATTAGCCAGGCGTGGTGGCACTCGCCGGTGGTCCCAGCTACACAGGAGGCTGAGGCAGAAGAATCCCTTGAACCCAGGAGGCGGAGGCTGCAGCGAGCCGAGATTGCGCCACTGCACTCCAGCCTGGCGACAGGGCAAGACTTCGTCTCAAATAATAAAAAAAAAAGTAATCAAGCAGAGCTGAATACTACCGTTATTCTACAGTTACCCAAAAAGAATCTGTCAAATGTAAAGCGTTTTGAAAGGACTTTTCCATTCATTGTCCTGATCCTTTCCAGCTTCCGCTAATGGGAGGTTTCCTCAGGTGCTTTTGCGCTGAGATTGCCCCTGGCTGCCAGCCGGCCACTGCAGCGCGAATGACTGGGGCGGTCCCCCGCACAGCGACCCTCACCTCTCCCGGGAGAAAGCGCTGTGGGCCGGCTGCGGGCCGTCTCTCTAGGTGGGGCGCCTCCCGGGCAAGGACCCCCAGGCAGCCTCTGGGACGCTCCAACGCACGCCAGTCCACTGCCCTCCTCTTGGCTCGCTCCAGCACTTCCAGAGCCAGCCTTGCTGAGCGCTGCAGGGAACGTCGGTCCACCCCGTTCAGCGCCGCAGCGGCTAAACAGTTGTCCATGGCTCCCTGGGTGGGCACATAACATACAAACGCCGGCGGGTCAGCCGGGCCGCCGCGACCCTGCTCCAAATCCGGGTAGGAGCCCCGACCTCGACCTCCCCGGGGCCCACCACTCTCAGCCAGCCCCCAACGCGCTCTCCAGCCAGAGCCCAGCCAGGGCGGGGTCTAGCGCGCCCGCCCCTTCCATTTCCGTCTCCCACCTCCGCTACGTACGGCGCCCACTCGTCAAGGCGCATGCGCACAGCGCTGTCCCAGGAAGAAGAACAGGCTTTGCGCTCCAGGCACCGGCGCAGCAAGCCATTGGCTAAGGCCGGATAGGCGGGGTGGCGGGGCGCGCCCTGCGCCAAACACGCTTTCTGTGTCCCGGTGGTGGCTTCTGTGCGCGGTTGCCTGGTTAACTGCTGAGAGCTGTGGGCGGGGCGCGGGTGGCCGGTGGCCCCGGGCCGGGGACCGGGGACTGAGTCGAGCCAGCCGCCCAGGACATCTGTCTGCGCTGTCGGAGGAGCCCCTGGGCCTGGGACTGGCCCTTAGAGGGCTGCTGCGCTGCTTAACTTGATGAACCTGGGGTATAAAGGCAGGCGGTCTCCTGTTGGGCTAAAAATTTTGGGGTACCAGCTAGGTAGGCAACATAGCGAAAACCTGTGTACACACACACACACACTGGGTACCAGCTAGGTAGGCAACATAGCGAGAACCTGTGTACACACACACACTAGCCAAGAGTGGTGGCGCGCACCTGTAGTCCCAGCTATTCGGCAGGGCCGAGGCGGGAGGATCGTTTAAACCCGGGAGGCGAAGGTTGCGGTGAGTCGAGATCGCGCCACTGCACTCCAGCCTGGGTGACAGAGCGAGACTGTTTCAAAACATCGCGGGAATACGACAAGTGCCTCCAACGCCGCCTTCTGCTTGGTTTACATTTTGGGGTGTCGCTACTCTAGTTTGAGGAGATGATTAGGCCAAACTGTGTGGCTCCCAACGTGGCCTTTGGAGAAGGGAATAGCTCCGGATGGAGGCGAGACGGAGGCGGGGCTGTCTGCAGCTGTTCCTGACCCCCGGGGCAGGGGGCGCCTGAGGAGTTGCAGGGTCTCTCGTAGTCCTTCACTGCGACTTTCTCGCCCGTCCACTGGGAAGTACGGATTCACACATTTTTGGAGACCTGTTCTCTTGGGGTCTGACTCCATATTTCAGGAAGACTGCACCATGTTTAAGTAAGGAACTGTGAATCGTTACCTGTCACTCCACTCCGCTGGTTATTTGGTAGGAGGTACAGCCCAGACTCAGTGTTAGTGACTCAGCCGCACCACCCAGTGCACAGCAAAGCGTTGATGCTTAGGAAGGTCCCGTTTGAGGGACACGCTCAATGGGGATCACTTTAAGGGACACAAAGTAATCCTCCTTTAAGTCTCCTCTGTGGTTCATGAAAAAGGAAAGAAACCCTCCATCCTCAGCTAGTCTCAACAGATGGCTTGATGAGCAATTATGAGGTACCAGGTGAGTAGTAGGCGACCAATACGACCTCCGACCTCTGTACTATTTAACTTTTGCAAATTTCCTGCTTTCCCCTCATGAAAGAGAAAAACAGTGACTGAAACCCTTCATTATCCTTAAGATGTTTTTTCATTTTACTGGTATTCCAAAACATTTCCTTCAATAGGGTTTATCAAGTGCCTCCTGTAGAACATAGTGGTTATATGTGCATGGGGTCCTGTATATCCACTCCGGAGAGCTAGTTTGAATTCTGGCTCTGACACCTTTTTTTTTTTTCATTTTTTTCTTATAAATGTTTTTTTCTTTTCTTTTCCCTTCCTTCTTTTCTTTTCTTTCTGAAATGAGAGTATCCCTCTGTCGGCCAGGCTGAAGTGCAGTGGCACAATCTCAGCTCACTGCTTCCTCGACCTCCTGGGCTCAAGCGATTCTCCTTCTTTAGCCACCATGCCCCGCAAATTTTTAAACATTTTTTTGTAGAGACAGGGTCTCGCTATGTTGCCCAGGCTCTCTGCCACTTTTTTGCTCTGTGATTCTGGGCAAACACATTACTTCTTTGAGCCTCACTTTTCCTCATCTCTATATCTGGGGATTTCAATTAGAACCAACTTCTTTAGACTGAGCTTCTTGAGGGCAGGGACTATATCCCTAGTGTTTAATTAGAGTTTAAGGTGCATCTAGTATTTACTATTTTGTCTGTCACAGTAAGGGCTAAAAATAGCTCTTGCATGTGTGAATTGGGTTGCCATAAGGATTTTGTGAGATAATTCCTGTAAAATGCTGAGCACAGTGCCCTGCAAAGAGTGAGTGCTCCATAGACTTAGCTAGCTTTAGTATGTGCCAGTCACTGTCCTAGAAGTTGTGGAGAACAGAATGCAGATCAGACTAAAGAAGAATAAAAAAAGGAAAGAATGCACGTAAAATCTGTAATGCCAAGAACAAAATATTTGGACATCCCATAAGACTGACACACATAAAATGCTGTGATGCTTAGGAGACTACGTTCAGTTGGGAGGATCAAGAAAGGTTTTGCAGATAATACAGTTTTCAAGCTAGGCCTTGAAGGATGGCCTAGGCATTCGTGAGAGAAGAGGTGGATAAGATACCTTTCAGTTGCTTTTACAATAAATGTGGTTGGAGTGGGATGGAATTTGGTCCTCTGTTTTTTTATGGATTTCAAGGTTTTAGCGCCATAGCTTTTAGTTGTGTCTGTGTAACCAAGAACTGGCTATTTAAACCATCCTATACTTCAATTTTTCCACCTATGAAATGAGAATAATAATAGCACATTCCTCATAGGGTTATTGTGAGGATAAAGTAAGTTAATATATATAAAGTGCATTAATAGTACTTGGCACATAGAAGGTGCTCAGTAAGTATTAGCTATTATTATCTTAATCAAGCTTCAGCCTTGCCTCCCAAAATACACTCTGACCCAGTACCACAGCCACACCTCATCTTATTTGTCTCTTCCCCGTTCTATTTTAGTCATTCCAGTTGAACCATTTCTTTTTGGCAGGTCAGCTCTTTGAAACCTTTTCCAGTGGTTCCCAGTTGCCACCTCTGTTGCTATAGCCTTTAAAAAAATTGTTTTTGGTCCTTTCCCAATCTAATTTAAATTATGTATAGTTATGTTTTCTTCTCTCCCAACAGCCTATCAATATCAACTCCTTGAAGGGAGAAACTGTTTCTTATTTGTCCCTAAACATTCCAGGGCCTGTTAAGTAGTAGGTGTTCAATAGATACTTGTTAAAATTACTCTGATTTAACTTTTAAGTTAAATAGACCTCTGTTAGCCCAGATAAAGAGATGGCTTTGTGGTAGTTCACACCTATAACCCCAGCAGTTTAGGAGGTTGAGGTGGGAGGATCACTTGATTCCAGAAATTTAATACCAGCCAGGGCAACAGAGTAAGACCCCTGTCTCTATTTTTTAAAAAATTTGAAAATTAGCCTGGCATAGTGGCTCACATCTTGTAGTCCCAGCTACTCAGGAGATTTAGATGAGAGGATTGCTTGAGCCCAGGATGTTGAGGCTGCAGTGAGCTATGATCGTGCTACTGCATTCCAGCCTGGGCAACAGAGTAAGACCTTGTCTTAAGGAAAAAAAAAAAAGAGTTGGCTTTTCTATTAAAAAAAAAAAAAACTACCTATATGCACGTTAATGAATGTAATGAATATTCAGTTGTAACTACATTTCTCAGAATTTAACATTTAAGAAATCTATGGGAAAGAAGATGCTTGGAATGAAACTGAAGCCAAAAGACTGATTCTAAATTAAATCTTTGCATTTATCTTTATTTTTCTATTTGTAAATATATTTATGTGCATATTTATAATTTTAAGGTTCATCCTGTAAACCACAGATTGAGAGACTTGAAAGACTCCTTTTTTATCTTTTTTAAGATTACCTGGGAGTAATGATAGAACATGACCTAGCATGAGGTCCCTTGTGGATCAAATACAGCCCACCCCAAATGAAAGCCATTGGTGAGAATTGAAAATGGAATCGTAAATGGAGAGAGGGCAACTAATTAGGAATGTGCTTGGTCGACAGAGAAATAAACTGTCAGTATTGACAGAGAAATAAACTGTTGATGGGAGTTTTTTAATGACCTCTAGCTTTGCAAGGGTAATTTCACTATGGAGAACAGATAAAAGTTGTCAAGATTCTATGTTTTGGGGTAGATGAGTTGAAAGAGGTCTTTAATTGCGAAATGAGGAAAGAGACTGGTGCTGTATTTGGAACTTTGTGAGGAGAAAAAACAAGTCCAGTGAAGAGCAATGTAAATTCCTTTTCTTCATGTGAAGGGGGCCAAAAAGGGTTAAAAACCTAGGATGCAAAAGTGGGTACTGGGCCAGAGTTAGACAATGATTTATACTGTACATAACAGAAACTGTATAAATTATTTATTTGACACACGGTATTGTTATTTCTCCAGCAGACTTAGGAGCTTTGGAATCATCACAGCTTTGTAAAGTAGTGTTGCAGTCTGAGTCATTAGATCATTCATTTAGCCTGATTACATCAACTCATTGGGTTATTGGGGAATGAAAGAAACTCATTACCAAAATTGTCATCTTGATGATGTAGATTAAAGAAAATGAATCAAACTTCTGAGAATTAATTTTTATAATCTGTTTAAAATTGAATGGGAGTTAAAAAAATTGGTTATAGAGGAGAAATGATTCAAATCTTGTCATTTTTAAAAGTCAGAGATTAAAGAAATAGTATTTGGAAGATATTTAATATAAACAGTTGAAATTCATATAGAGTTTATAAAAAAAGACTATTGAGGTATAATGTATATATGATCAAATTTACCTGTTTTAAGTATATATTTCAATAATTTTTAGTAAATTTACAGAGTTGTCAACATTACCAAAATGCGGTTTTGGAACATTGTCATTACCTGAGAAAAATCCCTAGTTCACACCATATGCAGTCAGTTCTCAGCTCCTACCTCTGGACCTGGGTGACCACTGCTCTGCTTGCTGTCTCTATGAATTTGCCTTTTCTGGACAATTCAGATAAATGGAATCTGATAATATGTGACCTTTTTTTTGCCTGGCTTTTTAAAATCAGCATAATGTTTTCAAGGCTCACACATGTCATAGCATGTATCAGCATTTCATTCTTTTTTATGACTGAATACTACCTGTTATGTGAATATACTACATTTTGTTTATCTATTTACTTGTTGATGGTCATTTGAATTGTTTCTAGTTTGGGGCTATTTTGACTGTTAAGACTTTGTGTGGACACATGTTCCCATTTATCTTGGGTAGATACTTAGGAGTGGAATTGCTGAGTAGTACGATCAATATATGTTTAACATTTTAAGAAACTGCCAAACTGTTTTCCAAAGTGACTGTGCCATTTTACATTCCCCCAAGCCATGTATGATGGTTCCAGTTTTTCCACATGTTCCCCAGTACTTGTTATTGTCTTTCTTATTGTAGTAATTCTAGTGAATATGAAGTAGTATCTCATTGTGGTTTAAATTTGCATTAACTATGTTCTTCATTGTCAAAATTGTTTTTATTTTCTAGTTAAGTCATATTTCCATAAAATTTAAATTCCGTTTGTCAACTTCTATGTAACAACTGTTGATGTTTTGATAGAGATCATATTGAATTCATAGATCAATTGAGGAAGAACTACAATCGTAATATAGGGTTTTTGAATTTATGAACATGGAATGTCCATTTATTTCCGTTTTTTTTTTTTAAACAATGTTGTATAGTGATTAGTGTACATCTTGGTCTTCTTTTAACAGATTTATTAAGTATTTTTATGCTGTTGTGAATGAAATTGTTTTCTCAATTTCGTTTT